TAATTAGCCACACAGGTATATACATGTGTATGTTCTTGAGGTCGTGTTATTGATAGTGTTATTTTTGGGGGCGATGTCGGTGCTATTTTTGACGTTATTGTTATTGAGGTCATGTATATTTAGAGAGGTCGATGTTATTTTTAGCCTTACTGTTATTCTGGTCGTGTTATTGATAGTGTTATTTTAGGCGAAGTCGGTGTTAATTTTTGTGTGTTATTCGTTATTGGTTATTTAACGTTCCTGTGTTATTGATGTGGATTTGTTGTGTCATGAGACTGTGTTATGAGGTGATTTTTCCTGGTTTCTGAACGCCTTAATATATATGAACCCCTCCCATATCTGAACCCCTCCCATATCTGAACCCCTCCCATATCCGAACCACCCCTCCCATATCCGAACCCCCCCATATCCGAACCCCCCATATCTGAACCCCCCATATCTGAACCCTCCCATATCCGAACCCCCCATATCTGAACCTCTCCCATATCTGAACCTCTCCCATACCGAACCCTCTCCCATACCGAACCCCCTCCCATATCCGAACCCCTCCCATATCCGAACCCCTCCCATACATCACCATCCGTCACACCTCTTCAAACCAAACTCCCATACACGTCAGTAATGCTATGACGTCATTCACTCCTAATTGCACAGGTCCGGTGGGGGGAAGGGTTGTAATAATATTGTTGTTGTTATTAAACCTCGTAAATAATTGTGTATCTGTTTTAGCATTGATTAAAGCGAGGCCCCATTCATTACCATAGGGAATATAATTTGTTTGTTTATTGTCTGTTGTTGTTGTTGTTGTTTTTGTATTGAAGAAGGATTATATATTTTAGGTGGGAAATAATCTTAATCGTGTTATATTAAGTTATATTTAATTGAAGGTAGTTATAGATTTTCTTTTTAAATATAATTAGGTTATATTAGGGTAAATTTGTTATACTGTAAGATATATTTTATAGAATATAGCAAAATTTACCTTAAAAAATAATATATTGTATTTGAAAATTAGACAATATGGAGTACTCTTGTTATATTGGGGTAATTTCATTTTATTAAAGATATCTAATTATCCCTTTTAAAATTAACTTTATTGAAAAATCTAGAATAAAATAAATAAAATTATCTATTATATATAAATTATTTGAGTTAAATGTTGAGAGAGAATTTTTTTGTTAATATTGTCCAAAATTACCATACGGAATAGTGGTTTGATTACACTGTAGGTAGAGAATGATATAGTGTTTATCATTCCAATATATTATATGGAAAATGTGATTATATTTGGAACATTATTCTTAGGTATAATGTGTGTGTTGTTGTTGTTATTATTGTTATTGTTATTGATGATGTTGTTGTTCCTGTTGTTATTAATATTATTGTTATTACTATTATTATTGTAGTCGTTATTATTGTTTTTATTATTTTTATTTTTATTATTGTTGTTGTTATTATTGTTGTTGTTGTTATTGTTGTAGTTGTAATTGTTGTTATTGTTATATTAAGTAGAGAACGTAGCAAACAAATACTCTTGAGGCCAGTGTTGTGGGGCCTATGACTGTGTATTACCAGAGGTTGGGGAGGGAAGGTTGACTGGGGTAGTGGGTACAGAATCCATCACTCTAGGATCTGCCACGGTAACGCGACCTCTATTACGTGGCTGTCCTGCGTTGGTGCTGTGATGGTCTCTCCCACCCCCTCCCTCCCTCCCTTCATTGGAACTTTAAATCAAAACTCTCTCACTAATGCTACCCGTAGAATAAAATGTTCGTAAAATTTGTAATTCAAGATGATGTCGTTTATCTGTTTTTCTGTTTCATCGCGTCGACATATTGTGAGATAAGTTCTTAAGATAATTTCTCCCGGGATAAAACAAACTGGTCGCTGAAGGACTAGACACATTTTATATTTTATTCTGTACTTAATTATTCACAAGTGTTGGTGAGAGAAATGTGTAGAGGAATAATGTGTTCAGTTTATCAGTGTGGGAGAGAACTGGCCACATATCTCCTGGTCTCCACACATGGATACTTAATTCATATCAACTTAATTCTGCCGCCGACAGGGCTAAAATTTGCTTCTCAGTCCAGATCGATGCGTCTGCGTAGAGGAAGGCGTGGCTGTCGGGCCGTGCGAGGCTGGCTGTTTCCCCTCTGTGTGTCCCCACCACTACCACCAACCTTTCCTCCCCATACCCACACACTCACCTGCCATACACCATCATAGCTCATCAGGTGCTGGGTTAACCTGGGGGTTGAATATGGGTTAACGATGGAACGGTGTACAGTTTACCAGCCAGTGATCACCCCGGCCAGGACAGTGCAGGCGCCCAGCTCTGTTGCCAACGCAGCATTATACGGCGTTTATTGTCCCCGCTCCATCTGTTAACTTCCCTGAACGTGTTGTTACGCCCTATATTGTGTGTTTATCTACGGGGAAATCTACACATACTCAAAGAAATTTCCCCAGGACGGTCTGGGTTCAGGGAAACAAAACCCTACGCGGCAACTGGTTGCTCTCAGCCTGTGGTTCGTTCCCCACCTCGGAGCTGTGTCGTCCCCTCAGTTTGGTGTTGACCTTGTTCGTGGAGGCTGCTCGCCGCGTTCTCCGGATGTTATGAAAAAGTGTAACGCCGAATTGACAGTTATTTTTTAGTGTTTCGGGTCGTTATTTTGTATTTTTTAGTGTTTTTTCCCGGTTTGTTTTTTCGACATTAAATCCGAACTCAACTTTAACGAACGAAAGGTGCGCGAGGATAGGGAGACAAACTTAGTACTAAGAGGAAGAGGCTTATGCAGGAGAGAGTGAACACAATAATGAGCGAAGCGTCATATCGCAGTATAGGCTGTGGGCGGGAGTGTCCCTCAGGGCCTAGGGACACCATCTGGTAGTCTCTCTCGCCTGGTCTGCTCGACGCCGCCACCTTCGTCCATGTGGGATTTAGACGATCAGCTCCTGCTTGTCACTCCTGCTGACCTCCTGAACTGGTTCTTCACCCTGCTGGTAGTGTTCTTGATCCTACTAACGCTGCTGCTGCTGCCGCCGCTCATGAGGGGACTGTAGCTAGGTCAGCGAAGGTGGCCGAGTGCCTCACCGCCCCAGGGGAGTCAGCTGTTCATCCCTCAGTGTTGTGTCTCCTCGTTATTATTAAACTATGCCCAGTGTTGTTGGACAGTGGTTCTAGTGACGTTGACACACTTGATGCTCAGCGACACAGGAAAATCGAAAACAATGCGATTCTATTTTTACTGATCGTTGATGCATACGGGATAAATCCTGTTTGTATACGACTGCCGTATAGTGACCTAAATATCTACAAGTATTGATTGACAACACTCAGCGAGCAGAGAAAATTAAGCACTGATAATGATATAGCGTAAAGAGCCGTAGAGGTGTTGAAACAGATTGTTGGTGGCCCAAAACTTGCCCGACCACCACTACTGGAGGACCAAGACCTGAGCCTTTGTGTGGCCGGGCTGGTGCATCCCTGCCAGCTTGGTGCGTCGCTCAGTATATAAGTTATCTTGGCGACACTTGTCTCACCAACAGTCTTCCCCCCTAAAGACTGCCACTCACCAGCACCCCCTAAAGACTGCCACTCACCAGCACACGCACCCCCCCCCCTCCCCCAACCCATTAGACTCCCTCGCAACATCCCACCCCTCTAGCGCCTGCAGCCTCGTCCTCCTTCCTAGATAAAACAAATCTTGAGTGACGTGGTGACGTGGTGATGGCCTTCGCCTCCCTCACTGGGGCACCCGGGAGTCCCCCAGCTCATGGTCAGCCTCGCTTTTGCATGATGCTCGTATGAAATATGCATGACTGTCAAGGGTCTACAGAGAGGTCAGGCGGCTGCTGTGGAGGCTTCTTGCGCGTTCCTAAGTAGACTGTGTCGAAATGTTTTAATCTTCCAACTTCGTTAATGAAGAAAAATGGACGAAAATTGCAAATGAAATTGTCTCTAATGTTAGTAATGAGCTGGAGGAGCTTGACGAGTTATTATCATCAGAGTCATCGATTATTCAGAATTTAACGAGTGAAAGAGAGAGAAGTTTATATTTCATGGTCTTCATTAGAATGAGTGTTTGAAGACTTAATTAATATTCTGATGCGGCCAGGCAGTCGCCCACTCCAGCCAAGCATAAAATCTGGTCCATTTGTTTGTGGCAGTAAATGTGTGCACCTCCTGGGGTGGAAGGGCGAGGGGTGATTCATTCCTCCTGTAAGTAGTCGAACACAACCAATACCGGGAGAGAACCACGGCCTGGGAACAAAGGGAACTAGGACGGTGTTGTGTTGATGTTGCTTCAAGACTTGTCTCGAAGTGATCGATACGAACCTTATATATGAACCTATGAACCTTCGTGTAAGATAAACGAACCTTGAACTCTCACTAAGGAATACGGAGTTAGTGAACTGTCTTTAGTTGGATTTGATCATCTAAAATTCTGATTTACCGACAAAAAACAATTAAACTGAAACAAATAAGTAAATTAACCAGAAACAGACTTGAACATCTCCCCAAAGATATCAGTAGGACGATGAGGAAGCGAAGAGTGAGGAGACAAACACAGAAACAAACAAAGAGTGAGATGCGTCATCCGTGTTGTAAGTTTTCCTCCCCCTCATCCTCTCCCCCCTTCCTCTCCCTTCCATCAGAATGAGGGGAAGAACGAGGGAAGCAGCGTGTAAGTGATAATTCATTGGGGGAGCCACTGATGAGTAGAGCTTACTGAATGATGAGTGTTGGGTGGCTGACGAGTCATACACACTAACGCTTATTAACTTCTACTTGTTGTTTGTAGCATCAGAGACGTGTTGAGGTTCCTTGAAATAATACACTTCGTTACATCATCTGTTTACATTGACAGGAGAAGAAAGTTGAGGTGATCTTTCATGCCTTGGTGCAGTATATTATGAACCTTAGAACTTGGTGACGAGTCTTGGCAGATTGGTGACCTCTCTCTCTCACTCATTCCTCATCACCATTATCGTCCAGCCAAGGTTAGAAAAAAATTACTCGGATCATTTAATACTGTCAAGTTACACGAGGGACGAGACCCCTCCCCTCACCCCAGTGCCCCTCTTGGACAAACTAACCGTGGAAACTTGAGAGGGAATAGTGATGAGCACCTTTGAGAGGATTTGAGTGCGTCATGCCCCGCTGGGACTCGTTGGAACCCAAGCTGGCGTGCGTGTGAGAGACTTTTGGGTTCGGCTGGTGGCTTGGGAATTTGATCTGAATCTTCCCTGATAACGTAACACTTACAAGTTGCCGTCGTCTTCATTACGTCACCGGTGCTGCTCGAGTCGTCATGACGGTGGACAGGTAAACGTCACTTACAGTAATATGAGTTACGTGAATGTTGCAAGCTGAGATCCTTACTGGAGGTGGACCAGGATTTACGGTCGAGGACTTGAGTGACAGTAATACCGCTGTGCTAAGGTGGAGAGCCATAAAGTGAAGCTGATCCTGGGGGCGGCCGCCGACACACGGCTCTACCCTCTACTTAGACCACTCTCTCTCTCTCCTCAATGGGACGGAGAGAGAACCTGTAGCAGCAACCACTCGCTCTCATTTTATTAAGAAGAAAATTGTAACTTCCTTTAGCAACGGTTAACCCAGGTTAAGTATTTATTGCACGTGTAGGACAACGTGAGTTAACACGGCTCACTGTGGGTGAAGAAGACCTGGTCATCTCCAGAGACTGACTGACGAGGTAAAGTGTGAATAATCCACCATTCACAGCAGCTGGACAAGAGCCACCATTCACACACACACACACACACACACACACACACACACACACACCTATTGTTGACCTGCGGGCTCTTCAGCAATTTAAAGCCAGCCGGGTCTTTTAAGACCTTGAACGTTGGTGAGCTAGGCATGGCAGCTGCTGAAGAGACAGAGCGGAATAATAACATTACATTAAGTGAGAGAGTGGAGTGAGGGGAACACAATAGCTAGCAGTCTCCCCTTGTGCGCTGCTCCTAGCAACCCCCTCCCCTTCCCTACACCTCCCTCAGTGAGGGGACAGACTCCAGCAATCCTCCCATGCCAGGCGGGTGTTTCAAGCCTGCTGGGATTGGCTGGTATTGCGCGTGGGAAGTGAATACTGATGTCTGCTGTTGAGGTTCCGGATTGAATGCTGGAGTCATCTGCTGATGTCAGGCCCCGGCACGTATGACGGACGTCTATTGAGGTGCTGTTGTGGCCTTCACTCCTCTGAATACCGAGCATGAAGGCACGCAAGCCTTTGTGGATCATTAACCTTTAAGAACTCAGTTAAATAATATCACCATTGGAAGAAGGGATCCAAGTGAAGTCATTGTGGTGTAATAAGACGAGGGAAACGCCGCACCTGTAGTAACATAAAAAAGGAAAGTCCTGACCGTAACAGCCTCCAGTCATGCGATCCTCGTAGAAGATCCCATAATATTCATTAGCCCGTCTGCCTCGCCCCTGGTGTGTGAGAGCCGACCGCCCCGCGGCGTGTGCTCTGCCATGGCCGCCGGCAGGGGGCGTCTGCGGCCCCTAGAGAACATTCTACCCTATCTAGAGGAGCTCGGCTTTCCTCTGATCAAGTAGGAAGGTCCCCAGACGATTTGTTTTGTTTGGAACAGTGATAGAGAGAGCAGGCAAGATGGCGCCCATGTTCTGCACTAAACTGTTCAATTGGAACAAGCCGGGCAAGGGCAAGAAGGACTCGGGGTCAAGGCCGCCCTTAGATACGGTGTTCCCTGAGCCACAAGACGAGGGCGAGGCGTGCCCTTACTGGACCCACGTGCAGTGTAACCCCCCGCCCCAGAATGCCACATCGCGCCCACACACGCCCACCCACGTCCCTCTGCTGCCCGCCCACCACCCCGGCAGCCCAGTCCACCACCAGCCCGGTCCCCGCAGCCCATCCTCACACCGCCGGGCCGCCCACGTCCGTAGCCACCAGGTGAAGTGTGGCCACGAAGTCCCGTACTACAACACCACTTACAACAGCCCTTACCACAGCCCTCACCACAGCCCGGGACCCAACAGCCCCGTCGGCCACAGCCCCGTGCACTTCACTCCGATACACCACCCCTCAGCTCACTGTAGCCCCGTGCACCATAGCCCAGGGTTTAACAGCCCTGTGCACCATGCTTCGGGCTACAATAGTCCTGTGCACCACGCCTCAGGCTACAACAGCCCCGTGCACCACGCTTCGGGTTACAACAGCCCTGTGCACCACGCCTCGGGGTACAACAGCCCTGTACACCATGCATCAGGGTACAACAGCCCGGTACAGCCGGCCCCGGGGTACAGTACCAACTCACTGCACCACCGAGGTTATGTACTGGAGAGTAACTACTGCCAGCCCCTGCCTCCTCCACCACCCCAGCGACCTCCACCGCCTCTACCCGGACAGGAAGGTAATGAATGTTTCTCTCAAGTTTACCCTCTACTCTTTTTCTCGATTTATCTTAGTTTATTCTCTACTCTCTTCTCCATTTTCTAATTTACTTCCCTTTACTGTATCTTATGGTATCTGTGTGACCAAACACCTCTACTGATATACAAGTAAAATATTCATTAATTTTCAGATTTTTTTTTCCACTCATCGATTCATTCGCTAATTACTCTGCCCGTAACTAAGAGGCGGGGTATTGTTTAGACCGTGTTTGTGTGACTGTGGTCCCTGAAAAACTCGTGAACGTGTTTGTGAATGTGCTCCAAACTCGGGGGAATGCTCCAAAATTGATCAGGCTCACCCACTGAAAAGCCGGGTGTTGGGGAGTTAAAGAAAACGATAACATGAGACAGTTTCCAGGGGTGACTGCATTATTTACAGTAACAGCGTCACTAGTTCGATATACAGTATACTATGGCACGGTAGCAGTTCGTGGGCAGAGTGTACGTCAACTCAAATGATGTTTAATTGATTCATTCATTATTTCATACGTTCGTTCATTCACTGATTCATTCATCGCCACAAATAACAAATAAAAGTCTTATGCTCTCTGACCCAGCTATTTCACTGGCCACAGAAGGTGTCAGTCAGTATCAATGGTAATATTCTACTCGAGACGTGGCCATAAGTGCCTTAAGGATCAGCATTATCGTCTTGGCGTCTCTCTCAAGGTCCATTTCCACCACTACCCACCACCACCACCACCACTTTCACCACCACCACCACCACCACCACCACCACCTTCACCACCACCATATCATCTTGGACGACGTGATGTGTTCATAAATTAACATGATATAATGAACCAGGTAATCCACTACATCCACGGGAAATTAGTCAAATACTTCTGTTTATGATTTGACTTGTATTTTACTGTTCATTTATATATAGAATTTATTTCATTGTGTATATCATATGTTAGAAGGTCCAGTTGTCTTTGGTTTTGTCTGTAAAGTAACATATTGTTTTGTTTTTCTGTCATTTTCTTTTTCTGTAATATGGTTCTGACAACGGAGACTCAGTAAACGACAAACCAATAATATATCCAATATAGCTCTATGTACTTGTGTTTATATACCTAAATACGTTTATCTAGTTGTTGTATGTGAGGCAAAAAAACAACAAAAAACGTGAATTATATTGTAATTTCTCTCCAGTTGTGCGCTAGAAAAAAATAAAACTCCATAGAAAGATTTACTGTTTTCCTTCTTCTGGTAATGGGACTATAAATCCGGGTTATGGTAAATGATGTATACCAGCTTGTCCTACTCTACAAATTACATAACACGGGTATATTGTCCTGGAGCCTTTACCCTATATACGTGGGGATGACTACAACCCACCTACCGTACTGGGATTAATAAAGCCTTGACGGTGTATTAAAGTTTCTGTCAGTATATACTCTATTAATTACAGGACGAACTATTGATGGATTCAGTAGTACAATGGATTTTTTTTTCCGTGGGTAATGTTTGGCATACGAGTGTCATCCCCGGAATAACGCATTACGGTAATTTGCATATATTGAAGTACGCCCGTGTTGGTAATTATGGGCGGGCGGGCGGGCGGACACACACACACTAGGCTATCAGGGGATGGATGTGATGGAAAATTTGACGGTCCTCTCACCACTATCTCCTCTCTATCCTTATTTCACCTCCCCTTCCTCCCCACCTCTTCCCCCTCTCTCTTTCCCTCTCTATCATAGCTTCCCCTCCTTCTCTCTCCTCCACCACCCCACACTATCCTGCCCCCCCCCCCTCCTACACCACCCCCACCCCCACCCTATCCTCACTCACCTTACCTTTTGTTTTTTACCTGGGACCATCCGTCAACATTACCCACAATTGAGCGATCGGTTATCAAGACAGCTGGGGAGGTGTCGGCCAACAACTGGGGACACCTGCTCACCCGTACGTCTGCCCTCCCATATGGTATACCTTTCGCCCATCTGGTCGTTCGTTCACTCACCTGGTCATCCGTTCTCCCACCTGGCCGCTTGTCTGCTATGTCGTTTGCTCATCTGATTATACGGCCGTTCATTTGGTAATCATCCTCCTCCTCCTCCTCATACCTGATACCTACCTACTACCCAATTGTCGCCCAGCTGGTGTCAAATGGATGATAAGTGGCGATGGCGATGTTACTACCGCCTATATACTTCTACCACCACAACGCGTTCTGACACCATCCATGACTTGTTCTGCCACCACTACTTCACACACACACACACACACACACACACACACACACACACACACTACCCCTACCACCATCATACACTTCTCATCACCACCACTACCACGCCTCGCCACCACCACTATCACGCCTCGCCACCACCACACCTCGCCACCACCACGCCTCGCCACCACCACACCCTCCCGCCACCACCACACCTCGCCACCACCACTCGCCACCACCACTACCACCCTCCTTATGGTCACACTGTATGGGACCCAGCAGGTATATCAGTGGAGGGGCTGGGGTTAGTGGTGGTGGGCGGATAAAGGATGGGGAGGGGGAAGGAAAGAGAAGAAAGGGGATGGAGGGAAAGGAAAGGGAAAGGAAGGAGAGAAGGGAAAATAAAGAGAAGGAGGGGAGGGAAGAAAGGGAAGGGAAGGAAAGGAAAAGAGGGACGAAAGGAAGGGAAGGGAAGGGAAGCAAAACGTCGTGTTCCATTCTCTGTATAGTAAGTTCACGTTATTGTATTGATTCAGTTACTAATTTAAGACTTGGGTTGGTGTCTCGCCTTATAGTTCAGCTGCTGGACGTGAGGAATATTGACCCCACTGTTTCAAGGGCAGTTTAGAGAGGCGCCCTAGTGCATACGTGCGTGCGTGAGAGCTCCCACTCACTCACTCACACGCACGCACGCACGCAAAACACCCCTTCTATTCGCGTCTCTTCTCTCCCTACGTCTTTTCCCTCCGTTCGTCTTTTCCTTCCTCCTTCTTTTCTTCCCTCTCTCTCCCTCCTCCTCCCTCCTCCTCCCTCCCTCTCCTCCCTCCCTCCCTCCCTCCCTCCCTCCCTCATCCTCGGGTAATATCCTCAAATCAAATATGTTCATCAGACGACAATAGACCAGGCAGACGTTTACTTGACCTATCACTGTTGCTATACTGTCTGCATGACTCTGCGGACAACACCCTAAATTAGCCATAAGGAATTACAAGAGAAAATACATTGGCCCCCTTCATGATTATTATACAGTGACAAACAAAACAAACAAACAAACAAACAAACAAACATCGTAAACAATAAATATATCACTCCAATAAAAATGACTTAAATAAACAAGAAAAAGTCATACAAATACGAGGGAAAAATATATTATGTCTGTATTATGTCTGAGTCAAAGGACATGTAGCCATTACACGATATGTCTTAGAGTTTTTTCTTCTTCTGTAATTTTACACCTTCGAAATTACGTAACAAGAATACCTGTAATTATGGGACTTACTACCTGTTCTCATTTGACTTCTTCTTTACCCTAAGTCAGTTCATTCTCACGTAAGTCAATTCATTCTCACGTAAGTCAATTCATTCTCACGAAAGTCAATTCATTCTCACGTAAGTCAATTCATTCTCACGAAAGTCAATTCATTCTCACGTAAGTCAATTCATTCTCACGTAAGTCAATTCATTCTCACGTAAGTCAATTCATTCTCACGTAAGTCAGTTCATTCTCACGTAAGTCAGCTCATTCTCACATAAGTCAGTTCATTCTCACGTAAGTCAGTTCATTCTCACATAAGTCAGTTCATTCTCACGTAAGTCAGTTCATTCTCATGTAAGTCAGTTCATTCTCACATAAGTCAGTTCATTCTCACGTAAGTCAGTTCATTCTCACATAAGTCAGTTCATTCTCACATAAGTCAGTTCATTCTCACATAAGTCAGTTCATTCTCACATAAGTCAGTTCATTCTCATGTAAGTCAGTTCATTCTCACGTAAGTCAGTTCATTCTCACGTAAGTCAGTTCATTCTCACATAAGTCAGTTCATTCTCACATAAGTCAGTTTTATACACAATGTAAGGAAATTTTGTGACTATGTTTATGATAATTTCTTACGATAATTTTTTGGTCGTAAAGTTAAGATAATTATCGGTTGTAAGATTTTTTAGCTGTTTTTTATTATAAGGTTACGTTCACCTGCGGTTTGTTAACATGAGATCACGTTCACCTGCGGCTTGTTAACATGAGATCACGTTCACCTGCGGCTTGTTAAGAGTTAGATCACGTTCACTTACAGTTTGTTAACATGAGATCACGTTCACCTGCGGTTTGTTAACAGTTAGATCACGTTCACTTACGGTTTGTTAACATGAGATCACGTTCACCTGCGGCTTATTAAGAGTGAGATTACCTTCGCTTGCGGTTTACCAAGATAACATCACGTTTCCTTGCGGCTTTTGAACGTTAGCTCACGTTCGTATGCGACTTTTCAGAGTCGATCAAAAGTTTCCGATCGCGTGTCAAGATGGGAAATGGTTGAAGGGGTGTAAGTATTGACCCGCCTGTGTGTGTGTGTGTGTGTGTGTGTGTGTGTGTGTGACTGACTAACTACGATATTGATTGTTCGTCTACCTGTTCAGATATTCAGTCCAGCGCTCCTCTAAACGTCTGGGAAATCCCTACACCTTGCTAATCGTTAACACAGGGGGAGGAGGAACGGGGGTGGGAAGGGGGAGAGATCAAAGGGTGGGAGGGGGAGGGCATGGGAGGTGGGGGAGGGGAAGAGGGGACGCGGGTGGGAAGGGGAGGATTGAGAGGGAAGGGGAGAGTGGGGGAATACCTTGTTACTCTTTAGGGAATTATTTATAACTTCTGGTATGTAAAACTCTTTGGGAATTTCCTTTAATTTTAAGGCATTTGAAACCTTTTAGGGAAATTCCTTTAATTTGGGGTAATTTCTGATTTTTAGTATTATTCTTTAGGCAAATTGGTCTCTCTCTCTCTCTCTCTCTCTCTCTCTCTCTCTCTCTCTCTCTCTCTCTCTCTCTCTCTCTCTCTCTCTCTCTCTCTCAGGTGCCATCTAGCAGTCTGTC